GCATGAAGAGAGGGTCAGGGTCTGAGTCAGTTTGTCTCAGAGGAACTCTACACTTTCTAATACATGACCAGGGTACAAATGATTAAGTTAATTTATGACTTCGATTGCCAGGAGTTGTACAACACGTGATTATTTGCAGAAAATTTGGTAATTATTGCTTTCAGTACTATTTTAAGTGGCCACTTGAATTAGATCCATCACACCACCTTTTCCTGAAAGTCACTGAAATTAGGCTGCACAGCAAGACTGGAATATGACTACGCTGCTGAAAAAAATGACTCCACTTTATTATACTCCTGTAGTGTTCACAGCTCTGTTGAATCTTACTGGACCTGTACCCCACAGCTATCCAGATGGCACATGCAGCTGCAGTGCAAAGAAGTGTTACAAGAAGCACCTCCGCAAATTGCCTTATCCTTACTGCCCCACTGTTACCTTGAATACAGAGATAAACACCAGGCAGTGTTACAGTGAATTAAATATTAATCATGGCAGGAGAGGCTATGTGTTGTTCCTCCAGAATACCTCTGTTCATCTCGCCTATGTCTGTGAAAAGTATTGCCTAACTACATCGGCTTAATTAGAAAAGTAAGGCACACTTTTTTATAAGTTCTTGCAATGGGGAAGCTTCATACTGCAGCTACTTTACTCAGGAAATACACAAATCAACATATTGAGGCTGCATCAGCAACACATCACATTATCATAACAGATATTACAAGAAATAAATGAAGCCATTCTTAAAGGTCCCTTCATAACCATCTTCTTGAGATTAAAAGTGTAAAGCCTTGTTACAAGCTGCATTTATTATGATGTGTAACAAACACTTCAGAACAATAAGCAGAGTAATAATATAACACCAGAGTAATAATGTAACACCTCTTAAAGAGAAAACCTAGCCTGTTTCCAGGACTCTGATTTGCCGCTCATCTCTCAGATTTCTTCAGGGATTCGACTGAGTCTAATGTCGTGCTCATTGACGACAAGTTGGAGAAACAACTGACGAATCAGGGCTTTTTGGGTTAAATATAGGGACATGATTTTTCTGTGCTGGAGCTACAATCGATTCCCACAAAAAAAAGCCAAGTGGTAGATAAGATCGACACAGCTGTGCAGGCTTTTGTTGTCAACTTACAAAAATACCACTTTAAATGAGCACATTCTTCGATTCACACGACAAACATTAAATGCTCCAGCAAACCACTACTACGTCGACAGCGCGTGTTGGGTCCCGTCAAGAGAAATTGGCCAACGTGCACACAATGTCAGACTGAATAATGAAGTAAAAACAAAATTACAATCCAATCTGATTGTCTGGGTTAAGAGGAACCAACGGTGGGGCTGACAGTGTAATAGGTGGAGCTAGAAGACAGAACATGATATCATTAAAATCAACTTGGGAACATGAATGTTCTCAAAATATCTGTTAGACAAACCGCGCGCAAAAAGCTAGAGGAGAAAAGAGAAAGAATTCATCCTCAGGGGAGCACAAATGCATTTTGTAAATTTCTTGGCAAACCTGCCTGTTGGGTTTCCTGTGATTTTGACCTTTTTGATATTTTTGATTTGATGGCGGTGAAAGAGGAAAGGTCATGCTATCATCAAAAGAATAAGTCTCAGGAGACCAAGTTTATCCATGCCAAATTTCACAGAAATCTGGGCAGCAGAGAGATTTGTGCTGCATGGACCAACATCCTTAGGCCTTGATGGTAGCAGGGCAGAGAAGTCAGTAGTCATGCTTTACAAGCCCTGGTCTCATGAGTGTTTCCATACTGAATTGTGTTTTTTTTTTTGTTGTTTTTTTTGTTTTTTGTAGCAGTGTGGCCTGTGGTTGGTGTTGGGGCTCAGGGAAAGATATGATGAACAGTTACAGAGATGACTGGCTGGGGTTATAGGTAAGGATTGGTTCAGGGAGGCACAGATTGATGTAGAAACATAACACACCATGGGCCAGATGCATAAATGATGCGTACGCCATTTCCCGCACATAAATCGGAATTTATAAACCCCGACTGTGCGGTGAGAATGTATTTCTTTGACGATGTGTTTTTCACATAACATAAAATAACCAACTTCACGGAGCTTGAATTCATTATCATCATTATAAGGTTTGCCGTTTACACGGCAATAAAAATTTGACAATTCATAAACGAAATAATTGTTTGTGCTTGATGTTTCCTTCATCATCATTTAATATCCTTATTGTTCATTGTGAGGCATTCTGTAAACTGTTTCATACTATTTTAATATTTACTTCTTTTTTTTTTTTTTTTATTGCTAGTGAAACAGGACTTTACATTTGCAGTGATTGTACTAAAGCAAACTGATGCACGTTTTTGCCTCCCATTTGTTTCTGTCTCCTCTTTCTTCTCTGTGCCTGATCACTTGTGGTGGAGACAGTGTTTTTTTAATGCAAAGTGACTGATTAAGGGAGTGTCTTCATCCATTTATGGCTAATTGTCGGAGTGGAAACAAGGCTCCAGCACATGCACCCGATTTCTCAACGAGTGAGATTTATAAAGTGGAATCATGCGAATGCATGGCTTTATAATTTCGATGAAAAGATTGCCTACGCATGTTTTTGGGTTTGTGCGTACACATAGTTTTAGTCATGAATCTACAGAGTTTTATTCATCTGGCTGATGCTTTCCTGGAGAATCTGGGTAAAACGGTTCAAAGCTGCACGGGGCGAAGCAGCATTAAGTATCAGAAAACACTAACTGTACAACTCTTGTAAAGCTATATCCATTGATCATGTACCACAACATCAATGCACTAGGCAGCAAACTGAATGTCTTCATCTGTGTGTGTATGTTGTTTGTGTGTGTGTGTGGTGTGTGTGGTGGGTGTGGTGGTTGTGTGTGGAGGTGATGAAGAGGTTCAGTTATTGTTGATGAGATCAGTGGTCTCCAGGAGCGCTGACTCACTGCTGTTTAGGAGACTCAGGACGACTCTAGTCACAAATAGAAACTTCATTCCAAACTGGTGGAATTTAATGCTTTGGAAAGCTAAACAACTATTGATACTGTGTCTGTTCAAGGGGTACTAATGTTGATGGAGAGCCTTTTTTTAGACATCAGTACAGCCTGGTGGTTAAACACGCCATCCTGTAAGTCATCAGTTTTCAGAGTGCGATGGGTGGGGGGCTGTGGGTTCATTAAGGGGCAATAAAATGTCTGCCTTTAACACAACTCAATGTGTTATTTTTTTCTTCCCTCTCTTAATTTGCTAAAAGTTATTTATAAAGTAAAAATCTATAAAATATTTAAACAAATATGGTCCCTGTTAGATTACAAGAAAGATGGTCTAATCAATTTCAAACTGTGGTCCACTGTAAAGGAAATTCTGTCCAGGCTACACCGCTGTCACTGATATGTTTGGCAAGTATACGATACAGTACAATAAGTAAAGGGAACATTACATCTGAGCCTTAATAATTTGGTTGAGAATTACTACTGTTACCCATAGCCAGCTTTGATTCCTCTCCACAATCAATTAATTTATCACAGCTGTCAGAATTTCCCTGAGCCAGACACCAAAGCCTTGCCCTTTCCAGGAGTGAAGCTCCTGCCACTTTGCTAACCTCTTCATCTCTGTTGGTTACAAAGATGAGCTTCTTCACTTGCATCATTTTACCAGAAATGCCAGTGAAGATCTTAACATTTTCTAACATACTAAATAAATATACTGTACCAGGCTTAAAGATTTGGAAAGGTTTACAATATATATATATATATATATATTTATTCAGAGCCTGTGAGGCCCTTTGAAGCCCACACACGTCTTTTTTCATGTTGTGTTTGCTGAAATGTTTTCACCCTGACAACATTTCAGGAATGGAGGGTCCCTTTGTCACTTGGCATTTTTAAAGGATGAGATTATGCCATAAAATGTTACAGTTCATTACTCAACACTGTAGTGCTTTAATAAGATGTAGTATCCTCTGCGTTTAAATAAGTGCTGGTTAATTGCAAGCAGGGTTGAAGTGGGTCTCACTTGGGTCTCAGCCTGGGACTGAAACAATGGAGAGAGGCCCACAGTGATGGAGAAACCAGGCAATTAAACCTCTAATTTGACCCAGCTCCAAACCAACAAAAACAGACTAATCTGAAATATCTTTATCTTAATTTAACCAATTTATTTTATACTATGGCTAATTTGCCTTTAGCCTCTTTAATATGCAGCATTTGAATTATGACCATTAATTTTTCCATTTTAACTACTCTTAACTACTATTTCGACTTGCACTGCCCACTTGCACAGAATATATCCATCATTTTTCAGCAAACTTGCAGGATTCTGCTCCAGTATGTTTTTGTTGTTTGTTTTTTTTTAACCACATATTGTAGTTTCTCACCCCTTTTCCTTCAATATTTCCTCTCAATCTTGTGTATGGTTCTGTCAGAAGTCAGCAAGATATGAGGTATCGAGCTGCAAAGAGCAACAGGTCAGGTGAATGTAGGGAGGAGCTCTTTATTTACTCCCCTGCTGTAGACTTGATTACCGCAGAACTGTGTGTGTGTGTGTGTGTGTGTGTGTGTGTGTGTGTGTGTTTGTGTGTGTGTGTGTGTGTGTGTTTTTGAATTTGGCTGTCAGCTCAGCCTGCAGGAAGCCTCAGTATTGTCAGCCCATAGTTCTGGACCAAAACAGTCGTCCAGGATTTTTCCCAGTTCTCCCAACTACCGCTCTGATTACCAGCTCACGGTGCTGCTGATGACGATGTCTGTTCACCACAAAAAGACTCGGGCATAAATAAAACATTTCATTTATCAATTATTGCTACTGTCCTTTTCTGCCTGTTCATTTCTATGTTGATTATTATGGCTATAATTACATGTCAGTGTTAAGAACACCAGGAGATTTCCCATCAGGGCTTTAGCAAGCAGGCAGGATTGGACTCCTTCTCTCCCCAGCGACGATGTTTGTGCGCCATGAATACTTTTCTTTTCAAGCTATTAATTTCCTTCTGTCTCCTCTCTCTTTCGTCTGTGTCTCTACAGCCACACTGGGGACCTTGGAATTCAGTTTGCATTATGACCAGGAGAACAATGCGCTGCACTGCACCATTAACAAAGCCAAGGTGAGCCACTGTGATAATGATGACGATAATGATGAAGTTAATTTGCGGACTTTAAATTCGCACACCAGTGATTTGTAAAATGCTTTAGTGAACACAGTTAACTAAATTTAAGTGGATCTATGAACAGTCGCACTTGAGTATCTCTGATTTTTATCTCAGTCCGTACAGTCCTTTGGTTATATAAAATACACTAACATGAAACTAACTAACTATGCAAACTGTGAGATTAGATTCAGAACAAACAGACCCTACTCATTACTCATACAAACACCTGTCATAACAGCCCAATGTGGCAATACGGAGCAGATCAATACAAATAAATATGTTTTTCGGACTCAATAAGATGACTGTCGAAGAATATTTTTTGCTGCAGCCTACTCTCGTGTGAGCCTACAAGCACTGGCAAAGAGGCTGTGGAAATGCAGCTTAACACGTCCCACAGTTCCCTGCAAGAGAGATATTTACATCTATTTTCATCTCAGGAAGCATTAATTATTTCTCAAGCATATTGCTAACAAACAGAGCAAGAATATGCACCCAACCAATTATGTTTCTGAGTTGAAATCAGTGTTAATCAGTAGGTATTATGTAGATCTAATGTGTCAAGCTGGTCGCAGATTTAGCAGCTGACGAGCCAGATATTTTTCTCTCGACCTCATGGAAACCACAACAGATCTGAAAGGAGAACGAATATTGGGAAAACTGTAAAAATATATTTTCTGGTCTGCTCTTGTTTGCCATTTTAATTTGCTGTTGCTGCTGTGTAAACATGTCTACCTGTTTTCATGATGATTTCAGAGCATAAATTGGGAATTATTTACAACAGTACAACAACAAACTCTTACCTTACTCATCTCTCAGTTGGTTGATCTGAGCCTCTCGCTTAAACAGAAATACTGTTCTTCTTACCCACTAATTAATTCCAGTTGGCTTCCCTTTCTTTCTCTTTATATTGAGCTGCTGCCAATCAAACTCAGCTCTCCCCACAGAGGTTTAAAACTAGAAGCCTACCAGCTCAATGCCAACTTGAACTGAAGCTGCTAGTGGATCCTTCTCACAAACCTTGACTTGTCATAGCAGCAAAGAAGCACAGGTCTGACTAGTAGCGCTAATGATGGCTCAGTTACATGAAGGTATGACAGTAAGCCGTGTGAGTTGAGCCAGCATGCACAATAGTAAAAGCCTGTATGCACACACCGGGTGTTCAGTATTCAGTAAATATGTCATGTTACGTGAATTTCATGAACAAAATGTGTATAATATACATATTATTTATTTTTTTTTTTTTTTAATGATAAAACTCAGTTTGTTTTTATGAAATGTAATTTCATCATTCTTACTTTAATAATAACTTAATGTTTATGGGAATTAATTTCTATTTCATAACAGAAATGTTTTATTTCATAATGCCCCTTTTCAAAAATGTGTTATTTCGTAATGGCATTTCTCCAATAATGCTTACATTTCATATCAAGTTTCATTTCATAATGTCACATTTTATGATGTAATTTTAAATTCATAATGTAACTTTTCATGACACTGGTGCTGTCACCACCATGTTTATGTAACATTGAACACTTTGGGGAAACTTGCACAGTTACAGTGCCAGTCAAAAGTTTGGAAACCTTTTGACTATTATGAAATACTAAATTATTGATGCCAATATTCAATGTGTTTTTGTTGAAGTTCCATTGCCAATCCAGCTTTTAAGTTCATGGTTATCATGCAAACAAAATCCTAAAGGTAACATTTTCAGGTTTTTCATTCAAGTACAAGGGTAGCAGTGATACATGATACTAGATCTGAGTGATTAATGTTGCAGCTGAATCAGTACAGTTTAAAGGGTTCCTATGGACAACCAGAGAGGTAGTGATGAATTCTTCGATAAATACATAATTATACATCATATTGGAGGTGGACAGCAATAACTAAACCATATCTGATTTTAATAAAAAGCCTATTTAAATGTAATATAGAATAAGTATGAGTTCAGGGGTGTTGTCCCCAGTGGTTCCCTCCCATGTTTGTTGTGATGAAGTGGTGGTTCTGACAACCACGGCTGCCGTCAACAGCTATAACTCTTCTTATCTGTCTGCCTCAATAGCTGGTATGGAGGAAAGTGAGCATCAGAGGAGCAAGTCTTGGCAGGAGTGTTGGACAGCAGAGTGGGCATCAGGCCATCTTGATTTATGGTGGTTATTTTCTATACTGCTCTGCTCCTGGACTTCAGCTGCTGCCCAGCCAAGCAGAGAAAATGATTTTCTCTTTCAAATGCTGTATATACACATTTCGATTATTTAATTTGTTTACAAAACCCCCTATGGGTCTTTCTAACCATAGATTTTTTTTTGTTGTTGTTGCTGTTGCTGCAAGAGCTGCAGTTGCTCCAATAGTAACTGTAACTGAGTTCTTTGATTACGCATTTCTCTAATGAGATCTTATGGTTCCTGGCTCAGGAAGAATGGGAGGAGGTTGACACTACAGGAACTTGAACTTTACTAAATTCTGGGGACTGATATTGGTGCCTGATGGGATGGTTACAGTGGCAGTGTGCAGTGGGACCACAGTTTTATATTTATGCAACAGTAGCTCATATGTACAATGCTCATATTATCAGAGCTCTGTTGGCATTTGGTCTGAAAAATCAATGTCTTTCATTGCAGAAACTGACAAAAGGTCAACAGACAACATAACTAAAACAAACAGAAGAGACTGAAGGAGGGCGCGAAAGACCATTCATCTGATAGTTATTTTAACTTGGGAAAAGAGCTGAGTTGAATTTGCATAAAATGGTTTTAGAAAAGAATCATTTGTCAAATGAATTTTTTTTTTCTTTCTTTTTTGAGAGCGCTCATTCTTCGCTCTGTCCGATTCCTCTCCATTTGGCTGAATGGCTGGTTGAATTGGAATTAGCTAGAAACACAGAGAGGGGCAATTTAGTCCTCTAATTTGAGTACCTTTTTAAAATTGCTTGTTAAAAATAATTTCTATCTCTTAGCTCTTGGCTTTGTACAACTGTTGTATATCTGTTTTGAGAAACCTTCCCACAACCTTTACATTTTAATGTGTCTCTCTTAACTGCCCCTTGATTCACCCACCCAGCATAATCCAGATAAAATGCTACCTGCATTATTGCATCTCAGTTCTGTCGCCAATCATGACCTCTGCATTTTCACTTCTTCTGTTCCTCTCTGCTCTATTATTACAAAGCAAAGTATATAGGAATTTGAGTGTTGTGTTCCAGCTGTACTTGGTAATCTACTTTTGAAATTAATTTGTGAATGGAAATCAAGGGCTCCAAACCACGCAGTAAGGATGAAGGGAGAAGGGCAAATAGCCCATAGACTGTATTAATTTAATTAAATCCTTTGCCTTGACGTGTCAACACAGGTAAATCCAGAACTATTTGATAATTACCTTTTAAATTCTTAATGAAGGTTACTTTTACAAGTTAAAATAACAGATGATGGAAACCGTGTATTTGTTCTTTACACAGTTTCAAACACTGATCCTTTGGCACTGATGTTTTGTATCCCGTAGGACTTTTTTTTTGTGAGATAAAACCCTGTGACTTGTGTTATCTCTCGGGGGTTTTCACCATGTCAAAAATGAGCTTTGTTTTATTTCCACACTGACATCCATCCCACAAAACGATTCAGTGCTGGAGGAGAAACTCTGGCACCAAAAACATAATTGTGACATTAAATAATGTTTCAATTACGTTTGGCATAAATGTTTCAGCTATAAGCAATGATAATATCTTTGCATCTGTCAGTCATATATAAAATTAAGTATCGAATAAGTGATTCCATCTGGGCAAATATATCACAATGAAACCTTGTTTTATGTACAACCTTTAGTCTTTTTACTGCTGTCTAAAAGAAGGAATATTCTCCCACTCAGCAGCAAACGTCTAAGTGCTTTATAATGTGAGCGTTTTACACAGTCTGTATTTAACACACATTTAAATAAAAACTCAAACACTGTGGTTTAAGAAACAGCCAGTCTACAGTTTGGACGCATTTACTGACCAAGAACTGGAACTCTTTAGATTTTCCATCCTCAGCGAAAAGGCAGATTTCTCTAAAACCAGATTATTCTGTAATGCAGGTTTAAGAGTTATTAAGAAATAACATATAAATAAGACAATGTTGAAGAAGCTACAGTTGAAGGTTTATCTTTGATATAAAAATTCTACATTTTTGGGAATTTATATTTATAATAATGTAATGTAAATGTTTCCTCACTTTTTACAATGTAGTAAAACAATTTGAAATGCAAAAACTAACAATGAATAAATAATAATTAAAAGAATAAATATGTTGAATTATGTGATGGCCTTTTAAGTGTAACAATTTTTCTTACAAATCTTACAAATTGTCTGAACATTTTACTGATACATTCAGTATTTGCAACTTGCCGTAAATGTAATCTGGTCCCGATTACACTTCCCTCTAAACATACTTGCTGTTGCAAATTAGTTGTATATAAATGAGTGATTATATGGGAGAGTAAGACCATCTTTACAGTGCTGATATGAGACTTAGTATATAGCTAAACAAGTTGTGTTTAAGTGTTAAAGAGGGCATCTTGGTTTCAGCGCATACTGTTGTGGCAGTGCCAAATGTGCTAGAAATCTTGGGTTCCTGCAGGTATTTTTCCCAGGAAAAGGGGAGTAGATGTTGGCAAGAATTACTGGGAAACACCAGGCTCTCTATTCCTGCCAAAATAACACTTCCTGGAAAAGTGTTTCCTCTGAAAACAGAAACAAATTGATACCAACTCTCTGTCCAACTCCTTTGAAGACAGCCAAAAAGCAGACCTCCCAAAATGTACTAGAAAACGTAATGGAGCGTTTCTTGTGTTGATGTATTTGGTGTTGGTGTGTACTTTTGAAGATCATTGTTAAGTCATCACTGCAACGGCCATTTGATTTGCTGCTGGGTGTGGATAGTGATGTCAAACTGATGGTGGGCCACAGCCAAACATTTCAGGATCAG